TTATAAAATTTTCAAAAAATAAAAAATTTTTAAAACAAGAGCAAAGACCGAGGCAAAGACAAACGCAAATTTCCTCCTAACTTCTTAAATTTATTTAAAAACGAGTGCTGTTAAAATTTGTGCACTTTCCCTTCTAAACCAGGCCATTTGTTTACATCGCACCCCGGGCCATATCTTCAATCCGGCTCTGTAACACACAATATTAGATATTAAATATTAGACATAAAATCGTAAGATGTTGGTATTATATTTTAAAAAGAAATTAAAGAAACTCAGAAATTTAAACCTAAATTATATCATTTTAAAAGATGATTTTATGACTTTAGATACCTAGCCAGCAAAAGCTGCTCTATTTCTATGTATTTTATGAGAGTAATAAAACTTCCATTTGCGCCTATAATAAATGAAATGTTTACTTACGACCAATTTATGATTATTGCAATACGTAAATGTAGTTTTAATAAATGTATTACTATTTACTATTTGCCAGATATACAGATGCGCTATACGTACATATTAGTATATACAAGGTGGCCCAAAAAGTACGCGATATGCTCATTGCAGCTAAACTGAAATTTTTATCAAAAAACTAAACTTGTTTCCTTTTTTAATACAAGATCGTCTGTATTATCCAGATTTGATTTATACTATACAGAGTGTTTAAAAATAGAAAAATAAGGTTTCGTTTAAATGGCAGCCTTGTTAAATATGGCTCCAATCGAAAAAAGTTATAAAAAAACGTTGTTCAGAATGCCAAAATATGAAGTTATTGCAAAAAATCGCGGAGATAGTCAAAATTTTTTTTTTCGAGTCAAATGGCAATACGAAACCGTATTTTGTCTATTTTAAAACACTCTGTATAGTAAATCCAATCCGGATAATATATACGATCTTGTCATAAAATGTGGAATAGAAAATGGAATGTTTGAAAATTTTTTTATTAAACTTTCAGTTTAGGCGCAATGAACATTGCGAACTTTTTGAGCCTTTTGTCTTGAAAAACAAGCATTTGAATATCCCCGCGGTTTTTGGCATAGTCGCATATTTTAGCATTCTGAATAACTTTTTTTTGTAACTTTTTCAATTGGAGCTACATTTATCATGGTTGCCTTGTAAACGAAACCGTATTTCTTCTATTTTTGAACACTCTGTATAGTAAATCAAATCTGGTTAACACAGACGATCTTGTAATAAAATGAGAGCAAGTTTTGTTTCAGTTTAGCTGCAATGTGTATATTGCGAACTTATTGGACCATTTTATTCGGAAAAAAAACATTTGAATATATCGGCGCGCTTTTTTGCGTAGCGCCATACTTTGACATTCTGAACAACTTTTTCCTATAACCCTTTTCGAATGGTTACCATTTAAACGAAACCGTACTTTTTCTATTTTTAAACACTCTGTATAGTAAATCACATCTGAATAATATAGACGAACTTGTCATACTATTATTTCTTTTTTTTTATATATTTCTTACTGATATTTAAGTTATTTTAATATACATTTCTTTTCGTTCTTTTTTCAATTGTGGGTTGAAGAGAGAAATAATTTGAATGTTTCGATGGTAAAGGCCGAGTAATGTGTGAGAATAAACTATAATGTGAATTGTAGCGAAGTTTATCACTAAGTCTGAACAAAAAGCTTTACTGGAAAGCTTTAAAAAAATGCCAACATGCTTTTAAATTTAATGTTAATAATANTAATAATAGTAATACAAATTTTGAGCTAAAATCAAATGATTATTTAAATTTTTGGTATTAATTTAATAATTATTCATTTATGACTATAAATTGTTTATGTGCAGACATATAACATTCACGAATTCGTATGACGGACGAGGATAACTATCTCGCCCGACTTTGTTACAGGTGAAAGCCCTAGAGGTATATCCTAAATTTAAAAAAGGCACCTAAAATCGTTTTATGTTTCACTACATTTTTTCATCAATTTTCAGAGCATTTCTTTTGTTTCCTTAAAAGATACGGTAGATCCATATAGCAGACACTTTCTTTATTCCATTATCTCTATAGCAAACACTCAAAAACTTTCTTGTCATGTTAAACCATTGAAGTGGAGGAGAACACTCTGTAGTCTGTAGTCTGGTTCAATGTGTTAAACTCGATCAGTTTCTTAGTGGTTTTGTGGATTCGTGTAAAACCCTTTGTATATCTATTATCTATGGTGTAAAACTGACACCCAATATAAATAATCCATTGATTCAAATTTCAAAATAAATTGTGCGTCGTTTGCGGGTTTTACATAATTTATTAGTAAAATTTAAATCAAATAATTATTTATATGGGGTGTCAGATTCACATGACTGTTTTGTAGGGATTCGTATTATATCTATGGCCACATAACATCTCTGGTCTATGGTTTCAGTCAATCATAGTATAGTGTAAAGTAAAACGTGGCGCGTAAAAATTTAAAAAATCGATATTGTCTACATACGAGTTGTTCCATCATTTATCTGCAGTATTCTCTTGCGTTTGTTATTTTGCCTAAATTAGAATAATGTTTGTAGTATTCGTGTAAGATCATTTATTAATATTTTCGACTTACACCCGAGACAATTTTCCTTTTTTTTAACAGAAGTAATAGACGCACAATTATGATGTTTAGATATTTAGAACCCGCAAACAACGCACAATTTTCTGATAGAGTTTAAAAGACAGGATTATGTATATCGGATGCCATCGCATCAGATATTTCGGTAATGACTGATCTATGGTAGTGATCGATAGTGTATCTATGCAGATCTTGCCTATGCCATATTTTATGCCGACAGTTATCTATGGCCGATAGTGTTTGTGTCATTTCGTCAGTGGTTTGTTGCTTTTTAGGTGTTTGAATCATTTTTGCTTTTTATTGTCACAAAGGCAGATTAATTGTTAATTTTATGTAGTTAATATTTCAGGATGTTTGTTCTTTTTTCGGATTCTATGTAGTTGTGGCATTGTTGAAGAGTAATAACCACAATGTTTATACTATTCCTACAACTATTTCAATAACATAAACATAACCTGCACTTAGGTAAAGTTACATTTTTTAAGTTTTAGACGTTTTGATAAGGAGTTTTGGCGCCGTATTGGTATTAAAACATTTTTTTGATAGAAATGTAGCTTTTTGTTAAGTTTAACTTGTTTTTGTTCAGTTTTTCTAACATCATGGAGCACCCAGCATGGAGGGTTTTTGTCAAACATAAAACAAACGTCTTTGAAGATTTAGATGTCAAAGATATATTGGATGAATTATTTTCAAATGAAATTATTAATGTGAATGAATATGAGTTAATCCTAAATAAAGTGAGTAGGCTTCCTGTTTTATATAGACAAAAGATTTATTATTTTTATTATTATAGAACATTGGTAATAACATTAATTTAACTATTTTTAGCCAACTCGAATTGAGAGAAACAATTGTTTTCTCAGTAAGTTGCCACGTTTACCTGCTCAAAAATTCAGCACGTTCTTAAATTTACTTGAAAAGAACTATAAATGGCTTTATGATTTAATTTTATTATCAAAAAATGTGGAATTGGATGAAGTTACTACATACCAGGATATATTCATAAAAGGAAACATTCCAAGAGCTCCTCCCCATTATGTCGAAAGAAAGCAACAAGTAAGTTTCATGTTAACTTTATGTAGTTACTATTATAACAAAAACAAATCGTTTTTTGTTTAGTTGCAAAATCTGATAGAATTACTAAAGAAAGTTGAGCCCAGGGGTAGGGTAGTGGTACATGGCATGACTGGCTGTGGCAAATCTTGCTTAGTTGCTGCAGCCGTGAAGAGTTTGATTTTGGAGTCCTATGAAAACAGAGTGTTTTGGATAAATTTAGGTGAAGTTAAAAGTAATGAACAATTGATCTCCCACATGCAATTGTAAGTGTTTTTAATTCTAAATTTTTGTAAAGTTCATAGACTGATAAGAATATCTCACATTTTTAAAATAATTGAATACTACTAAAATACTAAAATTCTGAAAATTGGTTGAATTGAAGATTATGCGAATTAGTCAGTGTATTTTTAAAAATAAGATGAAAATGAAGTAAAAATAACAGAAAATATAATGAAAAAATTTAGAACCAATTTATTAGAATAAAAATTTTGCCGTAAATTAATAAATTAATTATGATGGTAAAAATAATGAAAAGTGGTGAAAATAACTGAAATGTTTACAAAAGAATAGGAATTCGTAACAATTTTTATTAATTTTTTTAAATATACATTAAATTCAAAATTTAATAANATTATAAATTCCAGGAATAATTTTTAAATTTATAATTGTTTTTTGCTGATTGAATTTGAAATATGTGCAAACGAAGTTGTATCCTTCCTTTAATATGTAATATACTATTCTTTCCATACATCTGGAAAAACTGCTACTTTCGTTTACCTACAAAGAGTAGAGAAATATTTTCCGTATGAAAATCTAATCAACTTATTTAACTTTAAGTATTTAAAGCTTTCAAAATTTTGTTGTTATAATTACATGTTTATGTTGTGATGTTTTCTTCCTTGCTATGTTGTAAATAAACGAATTTCCTGCTTTTAGATTACTTCAAAGACTGACTTTTGATCTTGAAATTAATGGTCTAGATGGATTAAATCAAATATTTAGAACTGATCTCTGGCTTAAACAAGATGTTGATGTTTTGAAAAATTGCTTAAGTTATTTTTTTACAATGTCTTCACAACGAAATACTTTATTAATATTAGATAACGCTAACTTAACAGATACAGTCGATGCATTTGATGTTGGATGTAAAATTGTGATAACTACTCAAAATAAGCAAATAATACACGGAAATTCTATTTTGCTTTTGGAGGTATTTGGCATTTATTTTTTCTTACATAGAATTTAACCTATTATTAATTTTGTAGCATCTCAAAAACTATTTTGTACGTTTCTTTTATTGATCTTTGAAAAGCTTTCAGTACCTTCAAATTAAAATATGAAGCACATTTTGCTAGTTCTTCTTCTCACTCTAGCTTTTTCTATTTTTAAAGTTATTTTTGAAATCGAAGATCAGTTTATTAAGCATATCATGAATTTATTATGTCAGCTTAAAAAAATATTCACAGTATTTTCGAAAATTTTTAATAGTTTCCAAACATTTGAAATTTATCTAATACCTGCGGTAAAGGCAGCGTGATGTAGATTAAGAAAAAAGTAATCATATTTTTTTTGTATAATAAATAGTTTTATTGTCATTTGTAAATTTTAAACCTTTTAAAGGTGAAAGATGGTTTTACTGAAAATGAAACATTATTGCTTTTTGCAAAATGTTTGCAGACAAGTGTAGATAAATTACCTCCTCAAGCAAGTAAAATCCATAAGTTGTGTAAAGGACAACCATTGGTTGTATCTCTAATGGGCTCTTTATTTGAGCAAAATAAAGATGACTTACTAAGCAGTTCAAACAGATGGCAATATTACGTTAAAAAGCTCACTGAAAAAGACTTTACGTAAGTTACAATAAATTCTACTAATAAAAAAGTTTAAAGAAATAAATTTTGAATGTGCATTTTGTACATACAAATTATCACTTACAAACAACAGACCCCACAATAGTACGGGTATACTTATCAATTTATATTAAGAGTTCTTGATCAGTAATTTATCGAAACTGTCAGGCGTAGATTCTAACCTTTTTTGTCCTCATCAGCACGCCAAAGACAACATCATCAAAAGGTCGTCATTCCTCAGACAGTTTGGACTCACGTTTCTACTCTTTCAAATCTTGATCTAAATTTTGCATTTCCCTAAAACTAGAACATCCCAAATTTCTAACTATTTGTGAACAGTACCTAATTTGCACCTCTTAATGCCTGTTTCTGTCAATGGCAGTCTCTGTAAATTACTGACCAAATTGAAGTTACTTCATATAAAAACAAATTGATATAATGTTTGAAATACATCAATCAGCAACAAATTTCAGTAGGTGGCGATATACTGCCTGTAATTGGTAACTGTATTGTTGGTATTTTCAGACTAGGAAGCAGTAAAAATGGCAAGGACGTACTGTTTCGTACAATAAAATTGTGCATTAAAAATTTAAGTCCAAAACTTCAAGAATTATACAAATTATTAGTAGTATTTGTTGAAGATGTAAACATAACGCCTAAAGTTCTTCAGACTTTATGGAATCTAGATGACATCTATGCTATCGAGGAAATAATGGTAGAATTACAAAATAAATCCCTTGTAGTTTCTCATTACAGCCAGGAATTGAAAACTTATGTGTATGGAATGCATGCGTTACTTTTGGCGTATCTAAGACAAAATTATACCAAGGACCAAATAAGAGAATTACATAGAACTTTTGTCAAGGCTTACAAAAATACTTGCGCAGGCAACTTTGCTAATTTATGCGATGATAATTATATCTTCCAGTACCTCGGCTACCATCTGTCCGAAGCTCAAATGTATGAAGATTTTAGGCAGATTTATTTTGATCTCAATTTTATTGGTGCTAAAATTAAGGCTGTGGGCATCGCTGATCTCCTTAAAGATTTTCAACTCTACAGGAAATATATAACTTGCAACGTAAGTAGATATTTAAATATAAACATTAATCTGGATAGAACACCCTAAATGATTCAAACCCTAATGCCAAAATAAAGATTGTACTATGCGTGCAAAGTGTCGTGTTTTGGCGTTTGAGTGATTTAAAGTATTTGCCAATGTTTTCCAGTATTCTTTATTCAGCTAGACCCTTTTAAAGAGTACCTTTATTTTAATAAGTAACTGTATTAATATTATGGACCAACACTTTATAACTCTTAAAACATTGTTGATTAAAAAATTGTTTTTTTTTTAATTACATGATCGATCTTCGTGATTTTAAAGATATTGTTATTAGATTGCTAAACAAAAAATAAAAGTAATGAACAAATTAACTTCCAGAATCTTAGAAATTTTTATTACGTCGCTTGTAGCAAAAATAAATCTTTTGTGCTCACAATCGGTTAATTTGGAAATTTAAAAAAATATTAAAAATATTGAAAATGTATGTTCAGAGCACATGTGTATGAAACGTGGTCTGTGAACCCTCAGAATAGAAACAGTTAAAAGTATTTGAAATATGGTTTTATAAGAGAATCTTAAAAATACTGTGATTAAAAATAAGAAGGTATTAGAAAAGGTAAGAGACCAGAAGGCTCTATGGAAGTCAGTAAGACAAAGGAATAGTTGGAGACATATTATTAAACTTCGAAGTCAGATTGATTTAATGCTGTTTTGATCCAATTTTTATTACATAAAAATGTATGGTTTCGTTATCCTTATTATTATTTTTTGCCGTTTTTCGCTTTGGTTGAATTACTCGATATTGCTGGGCACCTGGCGGAAATCCTAAAAAATGTGTCGGATTCACTGTGTATGCGTTCCATCTCTAACACAAATGTTTTATTATTCTGCAAATAATTTGAGCGATTAAATGAATAATAAATTGACTATACTAGTAATTAGGCCAACTTTTTTCTCTGACAGTTAATTTCCAATTTTAGGAGGAGACATTAGAGAGAAAATTAAAAGACTTCGAACAGTTTATTAAAATTAAAGGTCAAGACTTATTTAAATATAATTATACAAATATAGTACAAAGTGCTTTAGAACAAAAAAATAGTTCTGTGTATGAGACTGCAATAAAAGTTGCTCAAGAAAACTCGAAGTGTTTATATTTCCGCTTGCAGTAAGTTTCCATCTGTAGGTACTTTTTCATACCTCATTTCTATCTTTATTCTTTAGTGCACCTCAAGAAAACGTTTATTTTACTCATACTATTGACGTAAAAGATGTCGTGACTGCCGTGTGTTTCACCAATGACCCTGACCAGATATTAATTGGGAATTCGAATGGAGATATTACAGTAAGTTAATTTGGGTATTTTATAAGAATAGATCACGCTTTAATAATAAATAATTTTATTTCAGTTATGGGAGCATGTTTATGCAGGACAGTTATGTACGTTTAATGGTCACAGTAAACGAATAACACGCCTCCAACTTAGTTCTGATGGCACAGAGTTTTTATCGGTGTCTGAGGATGGCTGTGCAAAAATTTGGAAATTAGAAGAAAACGCGAATTTCTGTAAAAGTGGCTGCAGCCCCGATGATAAAGGTAACTATTCTATTTCATTTAATTACAGAAATACATAAAAAAAAAGACAGAAAAACTGCATATTTCATCAAACCACGTCGCATATAAATTTTCAATTTAAAAGTCATTATAAATATTTAAGAACAAACCAGTTATGTTATCAGGATAAATTGATAATTTACAAAAAATTATTGTATAAAAGCAAAGAACTTTTTACATAATGAGTGGTACTTATTACAGTTATTGCTATTAAAAAAAATAGATTTGAGTACAATAACCAGTTTGGTAAATAAATTGTAGTAAAATATGGAGTTACATATTAGTAATTTAATATTTGCATCATGTACATTTGTAGATGTTAGCGTGTATAATTTTAAACCTATTTATTTAAATAATATTGTAGTTTCTTTTGGTAATGTCTGGACTATTTAGATTAATAATTTCATCTTTGAACTCCAGTTCAGTCGACAGTGCATTAAAATGTTTAATGACATTATGACAATTTCTCTACCACGACGTTTGCATTGCGAAAACAAAATGCAGTGGTCTATTGTGTTAAAAACTTTTTTGAGATCAAGGAAAGGAAGGTAGTTAATGTAAAAAAGTAAAACCTATTGTCAGGTTTTTCTGTTATCAAATCTAACAAAGAGCAAATGCATTTTCAGTTTCAATCAATTTTTAAGAGTTAAAAATAATGTGATTGCTAAAGAAGTTAATGAACCTACGATAGGTATATTAGTTTATCAAATCAGAAGTGAGTGAAATCTGTCTGTAGTTTGTTATAAGGCTTTTGCTGCTAGACTTATTTATATACTGGTACAACCTCAGCTAACTTAAAATGTTGGGAACAGACTCTAGCCGAAAAACTTAAGTTAAATATGTAACTTTAAGGGTAATAATGATTAAATAATATTAGTAAAACACATTAAATAGTTTTCCTTTACTCTAGATTATTATTTTTTTTTTTCTATACTAATAGGTCACAGGCAAAGTATTCCATCTCCAAAGGTGAAACAGTCTCCCTACACCAATTTTTTCAGCGACGATTCTATAATTGACCGAAGTCGAACTTTTAAACCAGCAGACGATATAAATGACGCCATTGTATCTGCCTCGTATTCTTCTGATGACAACAGATACCTAGTAACTGGTTGTTTAAGCGGTAAAGTAATTGTTTGGAATTTGAGAGATGACAAACCCGTCCTTACAATCTCTGGCAAAGACCGTCCCATTACATATGTAACTTTCTCAGATGATGACAAGTTTATCATATTTTGCTACGATAACATAATCCTTTTTCACGATTCCCAAAATGGTCAATTTATAAGGCACTATATCAAGTTCTATGGCCCCTTCCCAGACACCGAATGGGCCCGCGTGGCCATTTATCAAAACGGCTTTAATGGAAACATATATAACGCGCCACGGATACACATTCACGTGGATTAAATCGTAAATAATCCGAAAAAAATCGTAAGAAAATATTGCTGACGGCAGACAAATGTCCTGCCAAACTGTCTTTACCCAATTTATAGACGCGCATTGGACCATGCAACTGTTTTCATCTCTACACGCATATTTATTTGAGAATTTATTTAAATTGAACTGGTTTTAAGCAACACATCTGAAGAAAACATTAATTTTTATAAATAAGTATTACAACAGTATTGATATGATATAATTTATATTTAATGATGTCTCCCTAATAAAAATATTAATTTCCTTGTTTCAGCATTCCCAAATCGATGGTTCCCAAAATCGTCAAAAGGTCGTGGTAAGTGAATTTATATTTACTTTTGTGTACCTACATTTGTAGAAAACATAAACGTAAGCAGTCTATTATGGGTAGTTTAGAATAATATGGACATGGACCTTCCTGGAGCTCCAGGAGACTAGAAAGTGACGGGCAGCGTTAAGTGGAGTTTTGTCGCCACGTAGTCATGTCATTTCTAAATTACCTCTATATGTTGTAAGGTAGAGCAGGCCAATTTATTATTCAGGGATATATGTCATATATCCTCAATTTAAATCAGGATCCGTAGGATGCAGTGGTTTGGGGTGCGTCCCCCTTACGGGGTGCGAGATTATTGATAAGTTGGCACGTAACTGGTACCAAAAAATGTCAAATCTGTGCCGAGAAGACAAGCGCTTGGATCATTGTGGTGAATATTTTNATAGTTAAAAGCTAACACTGACTTAGAGACAACACTAATGTAAATAAAATAATAAGTTAAAGTATAATTAAAAACCACGTGGCTACAATAGAACGTACTTTAACTTATTATTTTATTTATAATTGTCCTGTTTAAACTAATGTTTATTCATTTAATATTATGTACCAGTTACAAGCAACGAACTATTTGGAGTTTTTACTTACATAACTAAAGAACCTACCCTGAAAAAGTCTCCTAAATAAAGGCGAAACATCGGTGTTGGTTCTTCATAAATAAAAAAATTTCCAACGCTTACTTGCCTTGGATTTTACTTGATATTCATTTCAGAATTGTTAATTACAAATAAAAGGTAGCTTAATTTAAAAAAGTGTTCACGTATGTATCAATTATCAATTATTTCTTTCGTAAATTGCTTCCGTAATCAATTAATGAGCAGGATTACGCGTATACATGTATTTATTATTTTTGTTTAATTCTTTTCAGAAAAGCCACGTGCCTTGATATATATTTCAGAGATGATCCTAATTCCGACATAATTTTGTTAACTGTTTCCAGTGACAATGACAGCACTGTTAAACAGTGGCATATAAAGCCCGCTATCGAATCTTCAGGAGAATTAAAGTTATTACCAATTTTTGACGTTTATTGGAACACAGTTAGTTCGTTGCCTCGCGTTGCTGCTGCCACTAATGACAAACGCGTTCATCTTTTTAATGGTCAAAATTTGATAATGGAAACAACAAAATTTATCAGTTCCATAACTAAAATCTGCTTTTCCCTTTGCGGTAATAAAATAACCATCGGTCTCCAAAACGGAGAAGTTATCGAATTGGACATAAAAACAAAAAAGTATAAAACAGTTATGTTGCTGCATGAATCAGTTTCTTTTTTGAAATATTTCGAAGAGTCGGACGTAAGAATGGTTCCATCCTGCACGAATAACAAAGATTGTCCCGGTCCCAATAGCGGTACTTTAGTCGCCGCAGCCCAAAATGGATGGTTCAGTGTTTATAGGAACAACAAAGTCATGTGCTTGGTGCAACCACCGTCTCCTAGTGACTTGAAGCAGGTGCCAATATTCCCTATAGTGTCTTGCTTTTACATAAAAAAGGCAGGAAAGTTGCTCTCGATTGCTAAAAATCGAACAATTAAAACATGGAATTTACAAGATGCTTCTTATGTTGTCCTAATTGGAGAAAAAACATTGCGGGATAACGAAAAACAGCACAATGTTGTCAATGTCTCTTTGTCAGATGATGAATCTCTCTTAGCTATCACCATGTCGGATAATACGTTTGATATTTATACCTTAAATGTTCAAAATTGCTCCTATGTAACGTCTGAATATAAACAAGGTGGTTGTATGGAATCGACACTAACTTGTTGTTGTTTCTCGCACGATGGGTCTTTCCTTGCACTTGGACACCTCAGCGGCTCAATTACCGTGAGTAGAATCTTTTTTTTTTAATTGTGTATAAGTTTACACAAGTCCAACTTCTACCTATGCTCCAGCTAATGACCCTATGATGATAAAAAAGAACTTTTCGAAAACTTCGTATCGTAATTTGTACTTTCTTGTTTTTCCCGAACATAGCCCCTACTTATTTATCATGAAAATATTAGAAGATGCACTAGTTTACGAGTAAATTTTTTTTAATTTAATAATTGAGTTTTTAACCCGTAACTATTCCAATTAATCTTGATTAAAAAAAACATGAAGTTGGGAATAAAATTGGACAAAAAAAATAAATATTTTCTTTTTCAATATAATAAGCGTTTGGCTCCTATGTAATAATATTTTTTATAAACTGGTAAGCTACCTGTACATAAATAACCCACAACATATTTTTCCCAAATTCGCAAGCAAAGATAATAATAAATAATATGTAAGCAATTTCTTTTACGTTACGCCAAATAAATATAATGTAATAAATGACTTCATACATGAAAATATTGTAAATACTGTCAATATATATGAAGAAGTACAATGATTCTGTGGTTGTCTTGGTTGATTTAGGCAAACCTATGGAAGTAGTATTTCACAGTTAATCGTTCAGTTCTGTGTTTGTTTTATCGCTCTTATATCTCCATTGCTAAAAGGAGGGTGGAGCACTAAAATACAGGTCGGAGGGACTGTGCATCCACCAGAATATACTGTAGGTGTGTAGGTACTAATGAGAAAGAAATAAAAAAATTTGTTAATGTTTTGTTTTTATATTGTTTAATCTAGAATGTATTGATTATCACTTACGTTAGTGAGAATAACAAGTAGTATTGTATTCATTTCAATATTGTTGTAACTTCTAAATAAGAAGGATCAATTTATTTATGTGGAATGATACGTTTTAAAAAAGTTTATGATACATACTACTTTTTGAATTTTTTTTTTTAACAGATTTGGAGCGTGGAATTAAAAGAAGTATTATACAGTTTAGATGCACATAAAAGGGAAATATATTACTTACAATTTTCGCCTTCTCCAATGTTTATTCTCGTAAGTGTAGCCGATCAAATAATATGGTGGAATTTGATGAATGTTCCAAAAGAAATGTATCGGGGGTGAGTAATTTAAAATCAATATAAATATCAGATAGCCGGAACTAGCACCACCCGTTGCCAAATTTCGTCCAATTCTGTAAATTTATTTATTTAATAATAAGTAAAACACGTATTGCAACGACCAGTATTCTCTACTAATATATTGAAGACAGACATTCCATAATATTTTTCTCTTATAGCAAAATGTAACAAAAAAAAAACATTGATAATTAATTCAAACTCAATCTTGACTAATGTCAGCGATTTGCATATAAAGCGATATTTACAATTAGACTTTTTTATTTAGAAAAAATAGAAGGCAAAAAAGGAAATCACTTGGCGTATACATTAATTTACTTTCGCAATCAAAGTCTCTCTACGCGGGTCCTTGGCAAAATAAGGAAGGTCCTGTTGAAATACCGCATCTCCTTTCGGCGATTAAAGTTGGTGGCCTCTATGCATCGTATCTGTCTGCAAACCATGACTTCACTGCCTTCTCAACGATAGACTGTAATGGCTATTTTTATATAATGAATTTATTAACTTAGCAATAAAAAAGTTTTTTCGTGCAATGTGCCATACGGTCACAAAAAAAGAAAAATATAAAATAAGAGGAACAATATCAAAGGGAATTGTGATTTTTCAATTTATTTTGTTTTTGTGACATAGAAAGGATTATTGTGTTATTGCTCAGTTTTTTACTTAATTTTACATTTACATTAGTCAATTTTTTAAAACTAAGAAGCTTTTTCTCGCAATTTCGTAGTTTAAAATTATCTAGTAGGTACGTAAATGTAGTGTAACAAACATCTTGCAACCGTTTTAAAGCCGTAATGTCTTTAAGCGCAAAAATAAAATTATTAATTCGCTTCTGAGATTTTATAGATCGTTCCAAATAACCTGATTAATTATTTTTTAATACTTTTCAATCAATATTAGATGTTAGTACTGGATTTATTTTATAAATCATAGGTAAATAAAAGGAGAAAACAAACTTTTAACTTAAAAAGCTAATCTTGTGGTAATCGTCAATTATATGTAATTTCTAATCTCACCAACGAGTAATATTCTACGTGAGAATATTGGAATCGGATATTGACTGAAGTGATTCGCATATTTAGTAATATTTTTTTAGGAAAATTTTATTTTAATACAACACTTACAAAATTATATAATTTATATTATAAT